TCATGCCGCTGTTCAACTTGTATACCCATGTGAGCCGATTCCCATAATAAACCATTCTCTACAGATATGACTATATATACAACCTATCGATTCTGTTTCTCTGGGTAACCTTGGCTAACACATATGACAACTTGAAAAAATGGAGAAGTGTAATTGGAATACATATATTAGAAAAAGGACTAACATCCACCCTGTGTAGTGAAGCCTCGCGAATGGAGAAAGACAGAACAGTGGGGAGAAATAGGGAGAAACCCTTCACAGAAGAAACCCAGTCGCCAACGAGTACTTTACAAAGCCATTCGAACTGCATTAGTCAGTAGATCATGTGGATTTAAACCACATTGCCTGTACTGCTACAGACCCACCAGAAGGTGAAAATTTAAAAAGACAGGAAACGCCACTTGAAAGACACATGAAGCAATGGAAGCGGGGAGATGAATGTCTCTGTACTGACGGACATGCATGGCATTCCCTTTTGAAAAAGCAATGTAATACACTGTAAAGTTATATGTAGTCCAATGTAATATAAAGATTATGATGATAATAAAAAATAAAAAAAAACATGCGCAAGAAAATTGTGGCATTTCTTTAGCTGAATGGAAAAACTTCATATCTAGATGGATGTCTTAAAACATTTAAAGTAGCCATCTCTCAACTGAGGTCCTTCAGATTAATAAATATGCTAGAATATGGAAAAAAAAAAGACACATAAAGCAACGGGACACTGACACATTGCTGTTAGTGCGAGGAAAGTTAGACCCACTTACGGCTAGGTAGGGTAAGAACTCCAAAAGGAAGGCAACGTTTTTTTAAATTAAAACAATTTTTTTTTAAATGAAGTATGTGATTTTCCTCTAGGGTCTGGTTAATGTACAACATATACCTCAATTATATGTCATTAAAAAACTTATGACTCCTTGCAAATAAGGCAGAAGATAAGAATCTTGAGCACACAGACAGGAAAAGGCTGAAGTGGAGTCCCAGTGGCTCCGTTTTCACAGCTAGAAGCTGGCTGTGTTGGACTCAAAGCAGCTGTAGCTAAGGGCATCAGTTTCTATGCAGTGAACTATCAACCAGAACCTGGAATGCTGTGGTCTGCTGATCCTACAAAGCCTAGGGTAATAAATCACTCAAACTACCATGTAACTATTTTCTAAAGCCCCCTTCCTTATTGGAAAGTCAGTCCATTGCTCAGACTGCTGGATAAAACCCCCTTGCCTCCAGCTCCTCTTCAGCAATCTATTCGGGTCCCCTTCCAGCACGTTAGAAACTTTTGTTCTTT